ACCTTGTTTTTATTATAACATGCTTCCAACTACCATTTTTGTTGTTGTTATAGCAGCAGTACATGCATGTGTTTGCGTTCTGCTAATCTAGTTCCAGCTCCAGGTTTAGAAATTCGTCTACTTTAATGGGCTGTAGCCAGAGATCTTCTGGAGTCAGTTGGGTAGGTTTGGCTGTGCTATTAAAGAGATGTAGCGTATTGTGCGGGCCTGTATCGCACGCCGGGCAGGCGTCACCCACATATTCATCAATTCGTGCCCAATACGAATTGAGACGACTATACCATCCTGAACGTAATTGCGCCAAAACTACCCTGGTTTGTCTGAAAGCTGACGTTCTTCAGCTGCAAGGATTGGGGGTGGACTCCGAGACTGCATCGGTATAAATGCCACTCAGACCAGTCTGATAGGCTTCTTGATCTAGAGATTCTATCTTGTAGCGCTGGACCTCCCTCTCTAGCTCATGTATGTCCTTCCTGACACGCCTTGGTGGGGGAAATTTATCCACCATATGATGGTTGGGATGACTCTCACGGTAACACCCAAGCAGGTACTGCAACGAAAGCATATGATTATGCTGACGTAAGGGAAGGACTTTCGCCTCCTCATGTAGATGGTCCACTGGTGTCATGAGAAGGCACCCTGTCGCTGTTCTCAGGGCAGCGTTCTGGCAGGTCTTGATATGCTTCCACTGCGTAGCACTAGTATTCGCAGACCACACTAGGCTGCACACTCGCATTATAAGAGGTCAACAAAGTTTCCATGTCCGCAAGTTCCGCGAGATCGGGTTCAGCCTTTCGCATATGTTATCGACCACAGGGCCCGACTCCATGATCGTACAATCATCCACTTACGTTACGATCTCAATGCCGTCTGGAGGGCGAGGAATTCCGGAAAGGTAGAGGTTAAACAGTTCCGGTGATATCCCCCACCTTGAGGAAATCTACGGGCTTTGGACTTCTTGTTCCGGAATTCCACGCACGATTATCCAACGTTTCAAACTTGGCCGGAGGGTAGTTCTCTTCACATCCGTCAGTATGGCATGATTGACCTATCAAATGCCTTTGATAGGTCAAGGGCTACCAAGTCCTACTTATATGTGTGGAAATGACGTGTAATGCTGTTGTGGTACTATGTTGTGGACGGACTCCGTGCTGGTGGTTGGCAGCTGTATAGCTTCCTCTAATGCAGGGAAGGAGTAAAGCCTCAAGAGTCTTAGCTACTGGCGACAAAAGCGAAATCTGCCTGACAATTCGCCTTTACTGGCATCCTTGCCTGGCTTCAGTAGCAGGACCACCCGGCCCATTTTCCAGGTTTCGGGCACTATATGGGTGGCTAGCGACAAATTGAGAACTTTCGTTAAGTACTCGAGTCCCGGAGTATCCAGCTGCTTCAACATTACCATCGAGATTCCGTCCGGGCCCAACGCTTTGGATGACTTAGCGTTACGGATGACATTTGCAACATCACCCATCGTAAACTGTGGTGGTTCCTCCTCAGCGGGAAGAGATCTGATACGACGTAGTACTCTTCGCTTCGCCCTATCGCTCTCGGGGTGCTCGACAAATTGTTGGTTAAAATACTCCGCGCACCTCTTCGGATCAGTCACCGTTACGTCGTTAAAAGTGACTGAGGTCCTATCATCCTTTTTTCCAGGGTTCGAGAGCGACTTAACCGTTACCCACAGCTTACTCAAATCGGTTCCAATGCTGCAGGATTTAAGATGGTCTCTGATGAGGACGACGAAAAAGTGGACTCACTGGGGACTACGTTACTGCAGCAAGTCGCAACATAATCCCTTTCGCTGTAGTCTCGCAAATGCCTAATTCCGGAACAGTTCTTGAAGTGCACCCATTCTCTACATCTATTACATCGCACCGAAACAGATCTGTGGTGGATGACTTTCTGACAAACCGAGCAGAACCAAGGTCCGGGGTTTTCCTCAATCCCGGCACGGACCAATAAAGTCCGGAGCAAGCATTCCGGGATATGCTGCTCCCAATGCAGAAAAATAAACAAACACAAACTTGCACATACTGAGTTGGCAGCCGCTGGCCGAAACTGAGATCTTGTTGTTTCGGGTCAATCCGGTATCGTAGATCCGGCTGCCGTGGGATTGTACCATTTTTGTGCACATTTTTAATGCATTTTATACCCTTTTTTGTACCCTCCACCATAGTATGGAGGGTAAATTAAGTTTGTCGTTTCGTTTGTAACACGTCGAAATATGCATTTTAGGCCCCACAAAGTATATATATTCTTGATCAGCATAAAATTCTATGTCGATTTATCAATGTCCGTCCGTCCGTCTGTCTGTCTGTGGAAATCACTCTAGCTTCCGAACGAAATGAAGTAGGTTGATAAAATTTTACTGAAATTTGTATTTTGGTATTGAAAATGAGCAATGTAGATCCACTTCTTCGTATAGCCCCCATATAACGGCACCCCCCGATATTCAGTATTTTGACGATTTTAGCGACATTATTTACCGGAATTGTTCCAAATTTTGTACTTGAAGTTGGTCATAGATACTACAGTGTAAAACAGAAAATGGGCCATTTAGGTCCACTTCTTCGTATAGCCCCATATAACGGTACCCCCCGATATTCGGTATTCTGATGATATTAGTGACATTATTTACCGGAATTGTTTCAAATTTGGTGTTTGAAGTTCGTAATAGATACTACAGAATAAAACAGAAAATGGGCCATTTAGGTCCACTTCTTCGTATAGCCCCCATATAACGGTACTTCCCGATATTCGGTATTCTGATGATTTTAGCGACATTATTTACCGGAATTGTTTCAAATTTCGCATTTGAAGTTCGTAATGGATACAACAGCCTATGACAAAAAACATGCAAGTCCACGTTTTACAACTCCCATAGTTCCTCCCTATATTCGGAATTTTGATGATTTTAGCTACATTATAAAGAGATTTCTTTTTTAAAGTTTCGCATTGAATATTGTAATAGCTTGAGACAAAAGTTGCCTATGTAGGTCCACGTCGTCGTACAGCCCCTAATATACGGCTACATTCTGTATTTTTAAGATTTTAACAGAATTTTTAACAGATTTTATTTTTTTGCAAAATTGCCAAATTTGTACCAAATGGTGGAGGATATTCAAAGTTCGGCCCGGCCGAACTTACAGCTTTTTTACTAGTTTTTTTTTTTCATTTTTAACTTTGTCATTCCGTTTGTAACATCGTTAAATATTCGTCGTAGACCCCATAAAGTATATATATTTATAATCAGCATAAAATTCTAAGTCGATTTAACGATGTCCGTCTGTTGAAATCACGATACAGCCCAGAGTATTTGACGTAGAGCGCCAAAATTTAGCAGAGCAATTTGTATTGTGTCTAGGATGGTTGGCATTAAAATAAGATATATCCGTCCATGTGTTGGTATAGGCCCCATATAACGGCACCTCCCGATATTCGGTACTTTGATGATTTATGCAACGTTTTTCACGGATTTGTCTGAAAATTAGTATTTGTAGGTCATAATGGGTACTAGTTTCTGTGGCGAAACATTGTATGTACAGGTCCACGCTTTGGAATAGCCCCGATATAACGGTATCTCCCGGTATTCGGTATTTTGATGGTTTTTGTCATATTTTTTCACGGATTTGTCTAAGAATTGGTATTTGTTGTTTATAATGAGTTCCAGCTCCGGTGGCGAAACATTGCATGTATGGGTCCACGATTTGGTTCAGCCCCCATATAACGGTACCTCCCAATATTCGGTATTTTTATGGTTTTTGCTGCATTTTTTCTCTGATTTGTCTAAAAATTGGTATTTGTAGGTCATAATGGGTCCCAGTTCATGTGCCGAATCATTGTAATTATAGGTCCACGTTTTGGTATAGTCCCTATATAACGGTACCTCCCGATATTTGGTAATTTGATGATTTTTGCCACATTTTTTCACGGATTTGTCTGAAAATTGGTATTTGTAGGTCATAATGGGTTCTAGCTCCTTTGGCGAAACATTGCATGTATAGGTCCACGATTTGATGTAGCCCCCATATAACGGTACCTCCCGGTATTCGGCATTTTAATGGTTTTTGCCACTTTTCTTCGTGGATTTGTCTAGAAATTGGTATTTGTTGGTCTTAATGGGTTCTAGCTCTTTTGGTGAAACACTGTATGTATAGGTCCACGTTTTTTGTATAGCCTCATATAGCCGTATTTCCCAATATTCGGCATTTTGATAATTTTTTGGCACATTTCCCCATGAATATGTCTAAAAATTGGTAAAGTGGGTCATAATATGCTTTAATGTTTCTTTAACCCTAAGGTGGAGGGTATTAAAATTTTGGTCCAGCCGAACTTAATGCTTTTTGAGTTTTGCCTTGTTAAGGCGAAGATCATATGTTTTATGATTTATGTGTTTGTTTCCTCTTTCGAGACGAGCTTAATGATCTGAAATTTGCAGTGAAAAGGAAAGCCAGATAGACACTATCACACACTCACCACTATGCGACGCGTTTCGCCGTTGGTTAAGGGGCTCATCAGGCATATTTGGTGTGGATGATGGCTTACAAGGGCCGTTCTCTGGAAAGTAGTATATATTTCGAACTTATTGCAAATTAGCATATGCGAATTATACACTAGAAACTCTCCAGGTTCGACTCAAGTTCTATTGGTAGATCTATTTCACAGCAAAGTTTTGTTTTTGTAGTGATGGATTTTTTGTCCACAACAACTACATTGCTTCCAATGCATACACTTGTTTTAGTGCTGCTTCTAGAAAGACGGGTTAATGGCTCTGAACGTAGAGACGGCAACTTCTAGTTGGCTGCACACCGAGGTCCGCGGTTCAAATCCCACAGCCAGGCTCGGCTGAATTTTTGAGTTTTGCCTTGTTAAGGCAAGTTTTTTACTTGTTTTTCTTTTTTGGTTTTGATTTTTTTTTCTTATTTGTAATATTAGTTTAATTTATTGAATATTTCATACATTTTGATAAAAATAACAATAATTATTGATATCTTACGCACTATTATTTTTTATAGAGGGGTTGTCAATACAATTACCCTATATTTTTCATGATCTAATTTTTATTATTATTTTTTTTTTTTCAAGATATAGATGTGTTTTTTGTGAGTAGGTTATTCATATTAGTTTAGATGTGATTAGTGATTAGATTAGTTTAGAGTGATTCGCGGACTACGGAAATAGTCTTACGGATATAATGTTGCTTTCTTACATACAGTTAAATATAATCATCTCGCGGACTACAATAATAATTACTTCACAGAAACGGCCTCCATTTTACCATACTACTGTAGAAGTATAACAGTGGGCGACGAAAAACGTTGATCATACAAGAACTGAAAATAATAAGAGGGTAACACAAACATTCGGTTGTATTCTTTGTAGCTTACTTACGTTAGAGGCACTAGCTATGCCACAGAGTTGTATGCCATAAGTCCAAATTGGCTTTATTACTGTCTTATATAATACGACTTTGTATTCCAATTTAATAGAAGAACATTTATCAATTATCACGTCAAAATGTATGTGTTTATCAAATTATGTTTATTATCAAATGTGTTTACTGTTTCTTCTGTAGTTTTTGCCCAAGTACCATTTTTTAGGCGAATTGAAGATCCGTGGGCGATAGATATTTTCAAGTTTTTTGTGGCTTTCCATAAGCTGTAGTCAGTTATCTCTGTGGGTTCCAGGTTATTTAAGAATATTTTTAAGTTTCGCTCTTCGTGCTTGCTTTAGAAGTTTTTCACATTCTTTTAGCCAAGAGGAGCGGTGTTTCTGTCATTCTCTTGTGGCTTTCCTTTTTCAAAACAGGTGTTTTCGAATGGTCGATGGCTTGTAGGGATTATTTTCTGGCTTAGGAAATTTAGTGGTGTTGACTATTGAAGTAAATATTTTAACTGCATTGCCAATTTCTTATTCGGACTTTAGGGAAGTGTTAAGATTCGCATGTGTGCTGACATATGTTCTGTACTTTTGTAAAAATTTTTGCAATTTCATATTTATGGTTAAAAAAACACTTGGCATGACCACACTACCTAGCAGATAATCCTTGAATGGAACCATACTACATTGAAATCAAGAAAGGGCAAAGCTTCCAACGATTTCAATTTTTTTTTATTTTCTTGTCTTGTCCATATTGTACCATAATATATGCTCTGATCCAACAGAACCTGCAAAGTCTACGGGTTTTGCATTTTTTTGATATCATAAAGGGAAAATGGGATGTCGTAGTAAAGTTTTACATTCTTGCAGTTCTGGAACAGGCCAATAAACTACAACGTGTATTTATAAGGTGTATGCATAATGTGACCATTTATATTTTTCGTCAGAGCGGGAAGCCTGCGGAATTTTGTAAAAAAAAAATTATGCATTTAAAAACAAATTTTATTCAAAAACGGAGAGAATGCGTATAAATCTAATTTATGAAATTAATCTTATGTCTAAGTATTTGTTTTATATTTGTCAGCAGAGCAAATTAATTTTAAAATATCGGGTCTAGTTTTCAAGTAGGAATGGAGCTGATTACATTGTTTGTTGATGTTAGTCTTAGTAATTAAAATAGCTTTTAAAACTGTCACACTTAACTGCGTTTTTTCACTAGTCCATATTTTATTCATTAGGGAAAAAACTCTTTCGACAGGTGCGTTACTTCCAGGCATACATAAAACATACTCAATAATTGTGCGAAAGTTTGTGCAGTTGAGATTATTAGCACGGAAGTGTTTAAACAGCTCCACCCAACGGTCTTCAGTAGCAACATTCTTATCGTTCCAGCTTTTGATTTTTTCAACTGTGACGTAACTGGAAATTATCGAAAACTCATCGAACACCTCCGTATCTTGGCTACTGCTAAGAAATCTTTGTGTGATCAGCAAATCCGTCATTCCCAAGTAGGGACTTTTCTCAAATTTGACCATTCAAATACTGCTAGTTGTGCATTGAACTGGCACCACTGTTCCAAGTATTCTTTACTTGTCTTATAAAAATCCGCTGCGCAGTTTTCACATTCTGCTCATCAACAGCAACGTCAGTTTTTTGTAATTTTACCAGTAGATTGCGGACGGAATGAGGAAGGAAAATCGAATTCTCTTTAAGTTCTAAGTTATCTCGGAGACGATTAATTTCATTCGCAGACTCTATTGCGGACACGTTTTGTCCCTCGATTTTCAACACGGCTTGATGAAAAATCGCTGTCTGTGCGTGCAAAAAATATAACCACAATTCAGAGCTGGGATTTTCGAAAAACGTTTTTAAAATAGTAGGGCATTTATCTATGCTCAGAAAATAGTTTTTCAAAGGCTGAAACATTTTTAAAATTCTCTCAAGCGCCGGCATTAAAGCAAGCCCCCTTGTTTTACTGTAGCCCAACAGTTTCTGATACTCTGTGTCGGTGGAATCACAGAACTCTTTCAGAACTTCTACCCGAATGCTGTAGATGTAGAAGAATGAATAAATTTTCACAATGATGCATTCGAAGTCAACAGGGAGACAATCTGCGGCTGTTTTGATAGCATTATGAATTATATGGGCTCCACACCCAATCCCAATGAGCTGCCTTCCGACGGATAGGTTCAATTTCGCGTAAACATTATTTATCTCTTTTCTATTCTTTCCTTCGAAATTGCAGTTTGTATTGTCTGCACAAAATGCCACAATTTTCTTATTCAAATCATTGCAAGATAATACTTCTTTCAAATAATCCACAATTATATCAGATGATTCGCCTGGCTGCTTTTGAAACTCTAAAATCCTGACTCTCACGCCTTCGTATGGTACAAAATAGCGAACTAAAACAGGGAATAATTTTATTGAGCCATGATTGGAAGCATCGGTTAATAAAGATATGCAGTGGGCTTCGTGAAGGTGTTCTTTCAATTCGTCCATCGCCATAGGTTCCAGCACATTTACAACTATAGCTTGTGATTTTGTACGGGCACATCTAAATTTTTGCTCAAAACATGTTTGTATTAGATTTGAAGCACAGTCATTCGAACGAAAACTGTGGTTTTCTTGCACTGTGTGGTACGCCCACGCACCCTCCGCTGCAGCTATATCCAAGTCTTTGGAAGTCGCCAAATTTGTTCTTTTAAAAAAAGAAAGCATTGACGAGCTTGAAGCGGCAGCTTGATCAGAAAGCTTGTGTTTTTCCGATTTTAAATGCTTCTCAATATCACTGGCACCACCATGTCCAACACTAAAATCAGTACGACATTTTTCACACGTAACGTCTGATTCACCACTTCTTTGTTTTATAAATGGATACTTATTTTGCAAAGAAATGTTAGAAGTACACTTGCGATTAGGCATTATTGTAATGTTACAATCACTAACATTGAAAATAAATTGTTTGACTTTGCTCGCCTTCTCCGACTTCGCGATGAAAAGATACCAGAACAATTTAGAGCGTCTATGCTTAGGGTACTGACAGAGTGACAGAAACTTTTTCTGTTTTTATAAGCATTTTTAATTTGGTGATTTCCCTTGTTATGCTGGAGTTAATGTCAACGCCGTCGACGACGCCGAAAAAGTTGAAACAGATTGAACTTTTTCGGCGTCGAATTTCTTACGGCGTTAAGATTAACTGCTCTCATAAAATTTCATACGATTTAATTTTTTTGACATTTGACGCCGTCGACGATGTCGACATTAACTCCAGCATTAGCATTACAAAATCTTTCGAGTTAATTTTAATGTTAATGTTGCTTGAAAAAAACTATTCAAATAAATTATATGTTCACGGGGAAAAAATAACTCATGTATTTTTCATCAATATCCAGTATTTTCGAAAGCGGGACATTTTTGCTCTCGCTGGGGACAGCGGGACAGATAACCTCAAAGCGGGACTGTCCCGCCCAAAGCGGGACGTATGGTCACGTTATGTATGCATCAGCTACGGCAACTAACATTTTACAAATATTGGTATTCTAGAAACTATAAAGCCTTTCTGACAATTGAATTTGAAATAAAAAATAATAATAAAAGCAAATGATTTCTTAAAAAAAGGAATGCTGCAATTACATTTTTGCTACTAGATTTTTGGAGCAAATTTTTATATTTCTACGCCCTAAGACAAAAAATATGTTTTTTTTTTTTGAATAAGCTACATATCACGTTTTTAGCTGCTGATCATATACAAGATGTGAAAAGCAACGTACCGAACGAAGAAATATTTATAAAATAAGACTTTAAAGATTTGATTGTAGTAAATTACCAATCTACTCAAAATAATCTCGAATTTTTGTATTCTTTTATTTGTTAGCGCCACTCTTCACTGTACTTGATTCGCTCTTAATTATTATTGTTTGGCCCTTAACTATGGAAAAACTACTGAATTCTCCACATAAAATTTCCAGAAAGCACAATCAAATTTGTACGTTGTTCAAAAAAAAAAAAAAAAAAAAAAAAAAAAAAAATCACTCCCGGAACAAAGATAAAATATGTCCCATCCCTAACAAATGAGAGTGTTTATCGAAGAAATTAATTATAACATTTGAAAATCCAAATTTTAATAGAAATTTACAAAAATAAAAGCCATGAGTAATTTTTATTTGAAATGTCCATTTAAATATGGAAACAAAAAATAAAAACATGTTACTATGAATGCCGGGGGAACGGTTTAGTTCGTGTACGTAATTCTGAGTGCGAACAGCGTTGTTTGGCATAGTCAAATGAAGAAATAGACAACGAAAAGTTAGTTTTATCTTTTTTTCCAGGTGGCTCTCATCATGTTTTGCATAGTCAACATGCTGATTTACGCGTTCAAGCCACTCGACTTCGAAAACACATTTCATCGTTTTTCAAGAATTTCACTGGAATATTTCCATATTTTTCGATGTCATCACGTACTTTTCACATTTCTTTTATTATGAAATAATTTTCAACTGACAAATATCCTACAGTTTTTGTTATTTTTAACATTTTTGAATTGAGTGACTACAAAATTCCCACTCAAACCCCTGAAACGATATGGACGACATCTGCTGATCCGATTTTTTTCGAAGATAAATGGTGAGAGCATTTCGTTGTCTGTATTTTCATTTGTCTATGTGTTTGGTTTCAAATGGAAACATGCTATAGAGATTTAGAGAGGTCTGTCTGTCTGTGCGTTTGATCTTGGTCTGCACTTTTAACCCATTAACGCCGACGGGTGCGAAAACGCACCAAAAATAGAGGTGTTTTTAGCATGCAAAGACTTTGGCTGTTTTTTCATCAGACGTCACCTACATGATGATAAAAGTATCGCCAAGTGCAGGTTTTCCCACATGCTAAAAAAAGTGTTTTGGGTTAACCATATGCGCGAACGCTAATGAAGCGCTCCCAATCAAAATAGCTGTCACACCGTCGCTTAAAAAATATCTAAAGAGATTATATATATATATATATATATATATATATATATATATATATATATATATATATATATATATATATATATATATATATTTTCAGATTAAATGAAACCTTTTGCAATTCAAATGAAACTTTTTGCAGCGGAAATGAAACCTTTTGCAGTGGAATTGAAACCTTTTGCAGTGGAAATGAAACCTTTTGCAGTGGAAATGAAACCTTTTGCAGCGGAAATGAAACCTTTTGCAACCGAAATGAAACCATTTGCAACCGAAATGAAACTTTTTGCAAATCAAATGAAACTTTTAAATTTATAGAAGGAAAAATAACAAAACATTTTTATTTTTAGTAGTTTTTAAATTAAATCAATTAATTATAACTAATATATTGACAAAGAGGATCTTTTATTGATTATAAATATCTACATTTATTTATATTATTTCTGAAATTTTCAATTATTGTAATAACAAATGGTTCTTTATTGATTTGATATAAAATGCTTCCATATTATTAAATCTCAAATGCTTAACGATAAAAAGAGAATTTTAAACAAATTTTGGCCTTTATAGGTATGGCCAGGACTGAAATGTGAAATTAAGCTTTACCACAATTTTTATAGTTATAGTATACTATTAATCTTACCTAATAAAGGATTCCCGCTTCGCAGCTTTATTGATCATTAAATCAACTATGATCATGATTGTATATACTTTATGGGGTCTACGACGAATATTTAGAGGTGTTACAAACCGAATGACAAATTTATTATATCCCCCTTTCCATGCAGTGGAAATGAAACCTTTTGCAGTGGAAATGAAACCTTTTGCAGCGGAAATGAAACCTTTTGCAACCGAAATGAAACCTTTTGCAACCGAAATGAAACTTTTTGCAAATCAAATGAAACTTTTAGATTTGTAGAAGGAAAAATAACAAAACATTTTTATTTTTATTAGGTTTAAAATTAAATCAACTAATTATAACTAATATATAGTTAAAGAGGTATTTTTATTGATTATTAATATCTATGTTTTCATAAAACTATTTCTTAAAGCTTTCATAAAACGGAAGTGTAGATGCAGAAAGATTAAAAAAAGTTTTCAAGGTATTTTTTTCAAAGGACCCGAATTTTTATAACCTCCTCCATGGAAAGAAGGGTATATTAAATGTGTCATTCGGTTTGTAACACCTCTAAATATTCGTCGTAGACCCCATAAAGTATATACAATCATGATCAAAGTAGATTTAATGATTTCCACTTATCTGTCTATTAAAATCACGACTGCTCTATCTCCATGATCAATAAAACTGCGAAGCGGGAATCCTTTATTAGGTAAGATTAATAGTATACTATAACTATAAAAATTGTGTTAAAGCTTAATTTCACGTTTCCATCCTGGCCATACCTATAAAGGCCAAATTTTGTTTAAATTTCTCTTTTTAGCTTTAAGAATTTGGAATTTAATAACATGGAGGCATTTTATATCAAATCAATAAAGAACCATTTGTTATTACAATAATTGAAAATTTAAGAAATAATATAAAAATGTAGATATTTATAATCAATAAAAATTCCTCTTTATAAATATATTAGTTATAATTAATTTTTTTATTTTAAAAACTACTAAAAATAAAAATATTTTGTTATTTTTCCTTCTATAAATTTAAAAGTGTAAGTTGATTTGCAAAAAGTTTCATTTCGGTTGCAAATGGTTTCATTTCCACTGCAAAAGGTTTCATTTCCGCTGCAAAAGGTTTCATTTCCACTGCAAAAGGTTTCATTTCCACTGCAAAAGGTTTCAATTCCACTGCAAAAGGTTTCATTTCCACTGCAAAAAGTTTCATTTGAATTGAAAAAGGTTTCATTTAATCTGAAAATGCTATATATGGGAACAGAGTTTCAACAAGTGTCGTATTTGCTCCAGGATAAATTCAGTTGAATTTGCCAAAAACCAGCCAACTTGACCTAAAATTACACATTTGGTGCACAATAAATATGAAATTGTATGAAGATATATATGGAATCTATATTCAAATCTGAACCGATCTCGATGAAATTTGTCAGAAATGTTTTTGAATTGTATTTGTGCAGATTACGAATGTGAGGGACTAAACCCCCAATCGGATGAATCATATATATGGGAGCTATAACTTTATCTATACCGATTTTCACCAAATTAGAAATACTTGCTTCATATATATGGGAGCATTGAAATCTGAACCGATTGCCAGATATACTTCTAGACTGAACCTGGCTGCGTGTACCTAAATTGATTTGATACGGACGAATATTACGCATTTGTATTGTATTGTGCACTACTTATGAAATCGAACGACACTATGTATGGGAGCTATATTCAAATCTGATCCGTTAATTACAATTTCCATAGATTTTCAATTGGATGATTCCTTCTCTTTTTATAAGGTAAAATATTTTCTTTGTATCAAATGACATTACCCTCATAGTCATAAGACTGACGATGCAGAAAAGCGAAAAAGAGACATAAATAAAATTGGTCGTTTAGTATCATGTTTTCGATCTTTTATGTTACTCTTCAGACTTATCAACATCCAGCACGTATATTCGAATCCTTATATTGTAAATTTGTTTAACTACTATAAAAAGTATAGTATAACAATAAATAAATAGGATGCAAAAGGCACGTCAGCGTTGCTATATTCTCAAAGAAATTTTCTTCAATATTCATAATTAGAAAAAGTTAAAAAAGCAGTAAGTTCGGCCGGGCCGAACTTTGAATACCCTCCACCATATAAAACAAATTAGGAAATTTTCAAAAAAAAAAAAATTAAAATACCGAATATCGGAAGGTGCCGATATATGGGGCGATATACGATATTGTGTACCTATAAAGACAATTCTCTTACAGATAGAAAGACGGACGGACATCGTTAATTCGACTTAGAATTTTGTGCTAATTATGAATATATATACTTTATGGGGTCTTCAACGAATATATAGGGATGTTACAAACGAAATGGCAAAGTTAATATACCCTCCTTTCCAAGGTGGAGGGTATGATAACGTGCAACCTTTGGAACATGTATTACTTCACTATTTTTTAATACTAACGTCTAATTTTTGAATAATTTTATTGAAATTCCAACTTAATTCATGTATTTTCCTTTACAATGCTATTAATTTATTAAAACATTTTCTAGTACTAAAATTGTACTCAGTAACGCCGACGGGTGCGAAAACGCACCACCCCCTGCAC